TTTTCGTTTTTATGTTCATTCGAGTGGAAAAGCCTTGTTCACAAAGGTAGGTTGTTGCAAATGGCAGCAATTTTTTTACCGCCTCTTCATGTGCAATTTTGAAAGGCTTTGACAACCAAAAAGAGGACAGATTTGATTTGGTCTCAAATTGAATACAGTATTGGATGGAAGTTCAAGAATTGCCTCTGCAATTCTCTGGAGGTTCTTCTGGTATGTTAGTAATTTCACATTTAAAAGGATCTACAACCCAATGCACAGTTTGTACACCAAGATCTGAAAAGTTTGGTCTGAGTTTGGTAAGATGAAATTAGAAAAATTTCCCTATTACCCAAAAAAAAATCATTTTTACCCCATTTTGGGTAATTTACCCCGGTTCCCCGACCGCTGATTTAGACAAACTAGTTTTTGTTAATGATAATCATTAACATGTAATTTTTATATTTAAAAAAAGATGAAATTATTGAAGATTTCTAACTGATAATAATTTTACATCTTTTCATATTTGATTTAATTACTTGATGCTAACTAGACCATCAAATATATACTTCTTCAAATTCATCACAATTTCTCAAATTAAGTGTTTAAAACATTAAGCTTCTTATTTACAAAATGAACATATAGTATTTAGTAGTATTTTCTTTTAAAAATGTGTTCTTATCTTAATATTAGATAACATAATGCGTTGTAAAATAGATTGTAAATCACTGAAAGTAGTTTTGCGGGAAATTTATTTCTTTTTTGAAAAAGTGTGATTCCGTTTTATTTGCATATTATTATAAGCGTAACAGACAATAAATTTCAATATATTTAGTGGACTAAAAATATTAATATAAAAAAAATCACCGAGGCTACGAATCGGAAAAAAATGAATTACGTTTTCGGACGTCTTGATAATGTACTCGATGATAAATGGATGTTTTTTTTTTTTCTATAAAGAAGGCCTCGCACATTCTTCGGATACCTGTGTGATGCACCAGGTTAAAATAAGCGTCCGCAGATTGATGTCGGAAAGATAGAGATAGATCTTATGGTCCCGTATGCAGCATTAAGGAGAAATAGCGCATGCATTCATGGCGTATTTATAGAGTTTCGGCTAATTATACTAAATCTTATTGTCAGTGGTAGTGCCAAAACGTGCGACCGCAGAACCGCAGCTTGGGTTCCCTCACCGTCGGTAGTCCAAATCGATTATTTTTTTCGTTCCTGTTGATTTTGACGATATTTCGAGATCCGCTCTAATTTTACTCGGTCCGAAGTAAGCAGGCGTTCGAGTCAAAAAGTTTTGTTAACAGTTAAAATGTTGCTGCTGTTGCCGACGCTGCTGTGGATGCTCCTGCTGACGAAAGAAAGTTTCTGCACAGGTATAGTGTTTCTTTGTTTGTTGTTGTTGTTTGCAATTCTTGGAAATCAAAGATTTGAGCTTTATAAACATGTTTCTAGTTAGAAGTTGGGGTGAACTGTGCAACCATACGGCCGAGTGCGACGATCACCGGATGGTCTGCAAGGCGACGTACTTCAACTATTCCATGTGCCTCTGCGATAGGTAAAGATCATCACTACGCTGCTACTTCTCCTCCGCACGCGAATCCGGATTCCTCCTTCCGGTTTCAGTGTGAACATCGATCTGATTTGGCCGATTTTCTGGCCCGGAAGAATCGCGTACCGCCTCAGCACTTCGCCCAACACCAATTTCACTTGGACCAACGCGAACTTTTGACCTTCAACAAGAAATAAATTACAATTCAGTCTTTGTTTTCTTTCCGGAACGCGTTTTACCGATGCAACTTCTCGGGCCCGCGCTGAACGGGATCTGAGCGTACGCGTGTCTTCCTCTTCTGCTTTCATCCGCGAACCTTTCCGGATCGAAGACTTCCGGATCCGGAAACACTTCCGGATTTCGATGAGAAAGGTACGCGAAGCAGGAAACGGATGTTCCTGCTGTGATCGTCGTGTTCTCTGCAACGATAATATTTTAAAAATCTACTAAAATCTCTTCGCGTTTTATTTAACTAATGAACAACCAAAGTTATATAAATCATCGAATAAGAAAATTAAAGATAAAATTATGGTCTTTCGACAGAATTGTGATACTTTCTGTTTGCTTGTGATAAGCTTTCAGAGTTTACCAAACTTGACAAAGATATAGAGATTTTTTTTTGCATCTCTTTACGTTTTATTAAATTTCTTGATAACTACACGTGCTAATTAGATCATTGAATAATTAAATTAAAGATAAAACTATGGCCTTGCAATTCTTATCAAAAAATTACGAAACTTACTCAATTTCAAATCGGATTCCACGTAACGCCCGAACACAGGAACTGATGGATACATTCTGAACGTTTCCCTCAAAACCATGTTCATGTACTTCGTCTCCCTGAAATTCGTTGCAGTGAAATGATGCAAATTACGTCCGCAAGTCATCAGCAATTCCTCGTAAACTTTCCTCTAGAAAAAACAAATATATTTACAATCCATTAAACTAACAAAACCATTATTATATTTCACCTGAACATCCTGATTTTGTCCCAAATTGTATAAAGTGAAGCTGATCCCGTTCGCAATTGATTCATGGCCCTAAACATACAGAAACTAAACTAAAATTTTCTCTAGAATATTAATGAAATGCATTTACCGCAAATATAATCGTGTTGACTTGATCGAGAATTTTCTGATCGCTGAACGTTCCGTCCATCAACATCGAATCCAGAAAAGGTTTCTTCATTTCCTCACCTAAAATCCGCACAAAATAAACTAATTTCACTCATAATTCACTTAAATTTCGCACCATTTTCATCGATCATCAACTGTGAGTAATCTGCATCTTTTAATTGTCGCCTCCTTTCGTTTATGATCTGAAAATGGTTAAATTAATTGTTAAGTTTCTTCATAACTTCATAGCGAATTACGTTCATGGAAAAATCGTTGATAATGTCCAAGCATTGAAAAAATTCACTTCCCGCTTTGCTCCTCCTGAAGACGAAATCCGAACGCCAAAATGGGTTGAAAGTACGATCTTGACACAGCCTCAAAACTCTAAATAAATTAAAAGAAATTTTTTGTTTGTTTGATTGATTATGAGAGGCTCACGTTTTCAGGGCTTTACGGTAAGTCGAATTTCGTTCGTTTTCCAAATCCAAGGTTATTCCCATAGCGGATTCTGAATTATGACAAAAATATATGTTTGGAATTTTCAAATTGCTTTAATCTCTCACCGATCATCGCGTTCAAGCTGTAACCGATGATCAACTCGTGCACATCGAACACATCTCCTCCGACTTTCTCCTCGAGATTCTCCAGAAGGATTTCGACTCGTCCCCTGAAGATGTGCAGGAATCTCTTGATGATGTCGTAGTGAAACGCCGGCGTCAACATTTTCCTATCCGAATGCCAACCTTTCCCTGTGTTCGCATTCGTTTTAGATTGAATTGAATCAATTCTTCTTTGTAAACTCACCAGAAGCTGTTACGAGTCCTTCACCAAGCAGAGGTTTTATGTAATCGTAGGTGATGGATTTCTTCGTGTGATCGAGGGTTCTCAGCAGAATCTAATTCGTTTTTATTGATGAAAAGAGAGAATTTAAATTAAAAAGTTTCTATTTTTTACTTCGATATCGTCGAAATCGGTGATCATCACTAGAGGTTTGGATCCGATCCAGAATCTCGTCACCGGTCCAAATCTCTTGCAGTTCTCCACGAAATACTGTAAAACTCCTGAAAACAAGTTAAATTTTGAAGAGAAATCGATTAAATTTACCATTAGGATGCGATTTAATTTGCAGAGAGTTTCCGAAGAACGGAATTGGCGTCGGTCCTGGCATCCTCTCCGACCGAACGCTCCAAATCAATAAGAAAATAATGATGAGCAAAGCAATCAACATTTTCTAGCCGATTAACACTTAATTGCAGCCCTACATTACCTTTTATAAAGCATCTGCTTACTCCCTCTCGTTTTCATTACAATGTAATAATGCATTTATCCACTGGTAATTTAGTAATCCTTGAAGCTTTCTAGAGTGTTTGCTTTATTTTCGATTCTTTTGTTAATAGTTATTTTGTAACAAATTTAAAATAAACAAGTATCAAACAATTGTTTATGAGGCTTTTGTTATATTTAAGACTGTCGTCAAGTGTTTGCAATTAATAATAATAATTAAATAAAGTTAATTACCATGACGACATAACGAGTATGTACTGAAACCTTGCAATATTTTCTATATAATATCTTCATTTCTTTAAATACTAACGATTTTTCTATTTTTATTTGTACCTCCTCATGTTTCATTTAATTACTCGACAACTACGGAAGTTGACTAAATGGTAGAAAATGCAAATTGAAGACAAAACTATAGCCTTTCAAATGAGTCTACTACAAAATTTGTACTATTTTTTGTTTTCTTGTAGCAAGCAAACAAATTTGAAATAATTATTGTTTCCTATTAATTTCAATTTAAAAAAAAATGTAATCTGTTTTTGTCCAAAATTTCCGATGTTGAAAGTGAATCTGGAAGAAGTATTTTTAGCTGAACGTAAACCGCGGAAGAGTAAACCTCAAATAAAGTGTAACTCACGTTTATTTTCGTCTAAGATTTAGTATATACAAATAATTGTTACTTCTTCAGATTTCACGAATGGCGAGGAGCGGAGGTCGGATGTTACCAAATCGTGCAAACCCAGAGGATCATGAACATGTCCATAACGAGCAGCGATTCTTTAGGTAAAGTTTTCAACAACAAACATCAATTGAAAGTAACAATTTTAAATGATTTGTTCAGGTAAATTGGCGAGGGATCAGGAAGCGATATTTCTGGGCCACAAGATCGCCGGATTCTTCGTGATGACCGTCGGCGTTCTCGTGCCGTTCGTCGTCGCAATATACTGCTGTCACATGCGGAAAAAGTAGGCTTTGTAAAAAAAGAGAAATTAACAAAATCAAACAATTGTTTTTTTTTTTGTTTCAGAGATAGAATGTTGAAAAGGGAAATCTTGTGCGAAAAGAAAGAACAATTGAAGAACAGCTATATGTCAGCATAATAATACTTTAAAAATTATTATTGTTATGCTTGTGTAATGTTATCTTTATCTAATTATTAAGTAATTATTATACATATCTACACGTTGAGTAACTAAATGTGGTTTTCGTGTTCGAAAATTAGTTATTTAGATTATAAACAAAGTGAATAAATGTGTAGTTGTTATTGAGATTTGTATAAGTCTATAATTAATTTAATGGATTAAACAAGATACGTGACTCGAAGATTGAAGAAAATTAATTTTAAAGTTAACTAACTCTGTAGGTTGTCGATGTGTTTTCCAGGGAGAATCCTGAAATTCTTGAGAATTTCTACGACGGTCAACTTGATCCCAAGCATGCCCTGAAAAAAAAAAACAAATTAAGTAAATAAATGAATATCGATTGTACATGTTGATCTAGTTACTGATGCAATTTCTTAACGAAATAATCAGTTGTTGATTCAGTTTCGGCGGCTACGAGTTCTTTAGTTTTCTCTTCGATGGGTTGACAAAAAAGATGTGTGAGTTCTGTTCATGCATCTTGTTTCTCAAGAAAATCCATAAAAGAAAACGAGAATCTTTCATTTTCCCCACAATTTTAGTAAAATTAAACAATATCTCAGCGTAATTGGGATCCGTGATGAAGACGTAAATCAATCAATCGAAATCGTTTCATACTTCTTCACGTTCTCCACGAAATATATAAACAAATTGTAAATTTTCTAAATCTAAAGTTCAATTAATAATTCATAAAATGTATATTTATCAATATTTCACAAAGTTCAATGATGATTCTCACTTTTCATTCAATCGTATTTGTTTTGATGAATTGCTAAAATTTGCAAGATTTTTAATAATCTCTTATCGCGCTGTTAAGTATACATATTACACACTCATCGACAAACAAAATAAATAAATAAATTTGTCTCTGCTATAATCTTAATTATTATGCAATTGAGCATGATTTATTAATGGAACGTTCATTATTATTATTCTTTTTGTGTTATTTTTTAATGTGAATTACAGGAAAATGGATGAAACCACTGCATTGTACGAAAATTCGTTACATTCCCCAAACATTCAGCTTCCATATGCATCTTTTAGATCCATCATAGCTATTATACTTTTTGAGATAAAACGTGAAATCATCAAGGTGTTAAAAATGTTATTGTTATACTTTTGTAATTTTTCGATTGGGAATCATTTCAGTGTACTTTTCGAGAACAGCAGCATTATCAATGCAAACAACGTCTGAATCTTAAATCCACGCAATTCGCATGGTAAGCATAGCAAGTGTATATTAACGAATTGGACTTTGAACTACATAAAAATTGAGACTCAAGGCCAAAGTAATGAGATCAAGTTCAGTGTTCATAAGAGTATTAAATCAATCAACATGTAAATAAAACAAAGAGTATTCAATGAAACTTTTAGTTTATATTTTGGATAATTTCTAATTAATACTAGCATATAAATGCAAAACTTAAATTATTTGTTAACAACTTCTTGGAGTTAATTAAGCGGTCTTTGCTGCAATCGGATGTTGATGCCATCAGGAGCTGTTAAAATAATGTAACTCTGGATGTTGTCGATGTCTTTGCCGGGGAGAATCTTGAAATTCTTGAGAATTTCGATGAGGGTCAACTTGATCTCAAGAATCGCGTATCTTTGCCCTGAAAAAAAAACAATGAAATTAAGTAAATAAATTAATGTCGATTGATCCTAGTTACCGATGCAATTTCTTGGACCAGCGCTGAATGGGGCGTACGCGAACGGATGTCGCTTCGCCGTGTTCTCCGCGTTGAATCTTTCCGGATCGAAGACTTCCGGTTCCGGGAAATGCTCGGGATTGCGATGAAGCATGTAGGCGAAGCAGGCCAGGGACGTTCCGGCAGGAATGGTGACGTTAGCTACGGAAACAATTGTGATTTACTTCAATTGTTCAAAAATATAGATTGATCGATCGATGTACTTAGTTTCAAATCGTGTTCTATAAGTCTGCTGTATGTGGCAACCGGTGGAAACAATCGCAACGATTCTTTGACGACTTGATCCAGGTAGACCGTCGATTGAAGATCCGAATAGGTGAGATCGCGTTCATCGGTTCCGAATAACGAAACTATTTCATCGTACAAACGCTCTTGCACGTCCGCGTTTTTGCTCAACGCGTAAAGTGCGAACGAAATTGCGCTGGAAGTTGTGTCGTGACCCTTAAAATGAAGAAATTAAGCCTAATGTTCACAATTAATTGAAATACTCACAGCAAACATGAACGTATTGACCTCATCCAACATATCTGTCACAGTGAATCCGTTCTTCCGATTGGTGATGAGCAAATCCAAGAAAGCCATACGCTTTTTCCTACCTTGAATTTAGTTTTTTTATTTTTATTAAATGAAATAAAGAAATTAAATTATACAATAATTTTACCGAAATCATCAGTTGTTGTTTCAGGCTTGGTTTCGGCGACTTCGAGTGCGCGAGTCTTCTCGTCAATGACCTAAAAAATGGGTTAAGTTATGAAGTTTTACAATATTTGAAAGATATTTCACCTTCATGCAATAGCTGTTAATAAACTCGATGCTCTTGTAAAACTGCTTTCCTACCGAAGTCCTCCGAAAGATGAAATCGGGTTGAAGGAATACGTTCCAAGTGCGCCTCTGCGATCCCCTTTGTATACTGAAGAAAAGTAATGAAACAAACGTGAAACATCGCCGTTTAGCAATTAACTCACTTATTGAGAGCGTCCACGTAAGGCGATACGGTCTCATCCTGCAGATTCATCTTCAGGCCCATCGAAGTTTCGGTGATCGCGTCCAAAGTGTACATCGTGATGATAGGGAAAACATCGAAGATTTCACCGTTCGCTTTCTTCTTCAGAATATCGATGAGCACCTTTCCGCGTTCGTTGAAAACCTCGACGAACTTCTCCAAAATGTTGAAATGGAAAGCGGGCGTGATCAGTTTACGATGTTTGTGCCAATGATCACCTGAAAACACAACAGAAAATCTTGAATTTCTTAAATCTATTAACAAAATTGTATTTACCAGTGGAAGTTACCAATCCGGTTCCCAACCATGGAATAATAAAATCGTAAGTCCTAGATTTCCTTATATTCTTCGTATCCTTCAAGAGAATCTAAATAAATAACAATAAATTAATTGCTAAACAAATACCAAACTCATTATTTTTTACCTCGAAATCTCTGGGATCGTTGAGGAAGACGTAAAGCGTTCTTCCGATCCAGTACCTCGAAACCGTTCCATACTTCTTCACGTTCTCCGCGAAATATAGTAAAACACCTGCAAATTAACGATGAACGACCTTTGAGAAGAAAAAAACCAACAAAAGAAAAAAAATATGTGCGTGCTCGCATATTCGTGTTTATAAACCGTTAAAATCTCTACTGATCGAGTCCAAAGTCTTATACATGCGCTCATTATTTGCTCAACATATCATTACATCAAACTACAATATGTATTTAGTGTACTTGGATGATTAATTTCGAACAAACAAAAAAATAATCTTATCGTCTCGCAAATTTTAGTAAATAATTATAAGTTTTAAACAATTTTTTTCTTCTTCATCTACACTTTATAAAAGTTCCAACAAATCGTGTAATATGTAGGTTGTTGAAATGTTACCTAAGTAACGAATTGTTGAATGAAGTTATGGTAAATATACGTTTTTTGTTGCTTAGGTAACGAAGCGTTAAATTTAAATTTATTTCGTTACCGAGGTAACAAATCCGTATTAATCAATTTGAAATTGTACCTTTAGGATTCCGGATGATGTTGTACGAGTTGCCGACGATGGGCAACGGTTTCGGGCCTGGGATGTGCTCCAAGTACTTGTTGATCTTCGCGTTTTTCTTCAGCTGTATGTAGAAGACGACGGCGAGGAGGGCCGCGACGAGGAGCGCCAACGCGTGCAGCATGTTCGGACGGAGTTTGCGATTTGAATCGCGATTCGTTAAACCAACAAACAATAAAAAGTCTAATCCGAGTTTGGACTTTGGACGGCGTCGCATCTACAAGTGGTTGAAAATAAACAAACACAACTTAAACCTGTTCTGAATATGTGCGTGTATGGATTGAATAATGATGATGGAGGGAGGAAATGCACAAGAACATGCTTCGTTCGAATCATCTGGTCTAATCGAAATGAATTGAAATTGCACGCGAATGTATTAACCGTTTGTTAAATATTCGTTTAACAAACAGAGATCGAAAAGTCCAAGGACCAGAACATTTACTGATCTGTTGAGCATTAGCAGTGCACTTTCATAAACACTTATCATTAAATACTAGTTAACTTTCACCTTAACCCAAATACTTTGGACTTTTTACCTTTAATTCACATAGATAGATAATAAGTACGTATTCTAATCAAATTTCATACTTAAAACTAATAATTTTCTAATCTTCATTGATTCATAAAATTAGTTTTAATATTTTAAAACTTGCAAAAAAAGGGATTTGGTTTGATTAATGTTGAGCCAACTAAAACTATTTATTACAGCATGCAGCTACCAATACTTTCAATTTACAACTACTACAGCAAACGTATTCGAAGAAGCAGAATCAAGATGTAATCCGTCTAGGCTTCATCTTCATCCAAATACCATCGGGCGCCGTCAGAACTACGTAATTCTGCAAATTACTAATAGTTTCGCCACCATAGATTTCGAAGCGTTGCAGAATCTTGATCAGCGTCGACTTGATCTCTAGCATTGCGTACTTTTGCCCTGAAATTCCTAAATCGATTAAACGCGCAATTGAAAACATCAATTTACCTATGCAATTTCGTAATCCAGCGCTGAAAGCGGCGAACGCAGCATGATGTTGATCCTCTGCGTCGACTCTATCCGGATTGAAGACTTCCGGATCCGGGTAAATCTTGGAATTCCTGTGAAGCATGTAAATGAAACACTCCACGTAGCATCCAGCAGGAAGCGTCGCATTCGCTGTGAAAATACGTAATAATAATTATGCGTTAAATGATGGATGATTGAACTCACTGAGCTCCAAATCGTAATCCAAGACTCTGCTGATACTCGCGACAGGTGGAAACAGTCTCATAGACTCCTTAATGACTCGATCCAGGTAGACCGTGGATTGAAGATCTCGGTAAGTTAAAGTGCCAACTTCGGCTCCAAAGTTAGCCTCAATCTCTTCGTATAATTTCTTTTGGACATCCGCGTGTAGACTCAAGCAGTGCAGAATGAACGCGATTGCCGTTGAAGTTGTATCGTGACCCTTGCAATTAAAAAAAAAATAAAAATATATCTCAGTTTATGAAAGTTTCAAAATGAGATTTTACTGCAAACATAAACGTGTTGACCTCATCCAAAATATCCTTAATGGAAAATTCTCCCTGATTCTCGGACAGCAAAATATCCAAAAACGATTTATCATTTAATCCAATCGTTTGCTTCTCCTTAATTACCTAAAACAATTTATCAATTAATTACACGCTGATTATTGCAGCAAAAACAATTTACTTTCATGCAGTGATCGTTTATCATTTCCAAATTGCGTTTAAACTCTTTCCCGATTGCCATGTTGTCGAAGATCCAGTCCGGATGCAGCAACGAATTCCAGACTCTGGTGAACGAGATTTTCTTGACGCTTAAAAGTTAACAATTTAAAACCGATCATCTTCAATCGCATCGAATCAATCACCTCTCCAACGCTGTCAAGTACGGAGATTTCTCTTGCCTCTGGATCCTCATTTGCAAACCCATCGAAGTTTCTGAAATTACATAAAGAAATAGAAGAAAACAAACTTTTTAGAATCATTCAATTGTAATCATACCGGTGATTACATCCAAAGTATGTCGCACAATTATAGGAAAGACGTCGAACCTTTCTCCGTCGGATTTCGATGTTAAATTCTCGAGCATATCGTCGCTGCAATCGTTGAAAACTTGCACGAACTTTTCCAGCATGTTGAGGTTGAATGAGGGTCTTATGATTTTCCGATGAACGCGCCAATGATCACCTAAAAAAGTAAGCTTTAAAACTGCTTCTAATGTTTGCACATCTTTGTAAATAACCGGTGGATGTGACCAAGCCTCCGCCTAACCATGGAACGAGAAAGTCGTAGGTCCTCGATTTCCTTATGTTCTTCGTATCCTTGAGCAGAATCTGAAACATTTTTTGTATTGTCTTTATTATTATTATTTTACTAAATTTCGTTTTACCTCAACATCTTTTGGGTCTGTGATGAAGACGTAAGGATTGCTCCCAATCCAGAATAACGAAGTCTTTCCATATTTCTTAACGTTATCAATAAAGTAACGTAAAACGCCTATAGTAATTATTAATGCAATTAATCAATTATTTGTTTTCTATTTAAACAATCTTACCTTTGCTGTAAGTAGAAGCGCCAATGGAATTCCCAACAATTGGTAGCGGGCTGGGACCGGGAATATCCTTCAAGTACTCATTGATTCTCCTGTTATTTTTCCTTCGGTTGACCAGAATCAAGGATAATAATCCTAAGATTATTACTATTAAGATGAACAACATGATTGGAACTGACTGGAGCTGGAGTGCAAAATCATCTTATTTTATAGATAAGCATGATTAAATTTACTATGATTATTTGTAGATAATATAAGATTTTAGTGCTATGGACCATGAAAACTAAATATCGCAATTTATGTAATGAACAAATCCGAAAGGGTACAAAACACTAAATTGCGCGCAAATACAAGAGATGCGCCTTGAGTTGCATACATCAGTCTATTAATAGATTTTGTAAACATTGTATTACAATAACAGCTTAAAATGCGAAGATATCAGAGATTATATAATAGAACTTTTGAGTGGGGACACTAAATTGTATGCAGTAAAAATTACGGTTTGTTTGGCAGTCCGCATTAAGACGATGATGCTTTTACGAGTCTCCTGAGCTCAGGAGTTATAAATGTTCAGTCGTAAAACTATGAGCGCGACAGACTAGATCAATTACGTGCACCAATATATGTATTCAAGTTTTAACGTTAACATACTAGCAGAGAGTCGAACCGAAATTAACCGGTATTATTAATTGAACCGTAACTGTAACCGGAACAAAAATTGCTCAATTGAAAAATTGAATCTGCAACGATACTCTCTGCATACAATACACAATTATCATTGAACACTCTAATTAAAGATTAATGTAGGTTTAACTTTTACACAAAATTATAGGAAATTGTCTATACATATAAATATGGCACGTTGGAAAGCCCAATCATGTTGCTTTAAGCTGCGTGCTCATTTATAATAAGGTTTATACAAAAACCGGTATTCGAATGTAAACTTTTCTACAAAACCGGTTTTCGAATTTTCACAAAAAAAAACAAGAGATTTTCACAACTTATTTTCTATTGCTCACACAGTTCCATTACGTATACGAAACTTCCAGAAATAGAAAAAAACTATCACTTGCTACAAAACTGGGTTTAATCCTCTTTAGAGTATTAAATAATGAACTAAATTATTCGTTTTTTTCTTTGTACCGTCTAATAGTAAAAGTTTCTTTCTTGGTAGGTTGGTGCAGGACAAAGTCACATCTTCAGATTCTTGAAGATATTTAAGAATATATTGCATTAAAACAAGCTATGATGCTTTTTCTTCATCGCAGATAATTAAAATAATTCAATAATTTTAAGTTTAGGCTCAAAAACCGGTTTTCTTTTAGTTGGATAAACCCGGTTTTCAAATTACATGAAACCCTAGTATCCCCCGAATTACGAATTAGTTCCGTTCCAAAGGGTTGTTCGTAAGTCGAATTTGGTCGTAAGTCGGGGGAATTTTAAAAAATACTGATTTTAACACACTTTATCATGGTTTTTCTTTTATATATGTTAAATTCCGTAACACTGACTGCATAACTTTGAATAAATAGATTAAAATAAAGAAAATACTTTTCAATGTAGACATCATAATTATTCAATAAAAAAACTTCTTCATCTTAGAAAAATATCATATTTTATTAAAGAAATTATCAATTTTTGTTTGGACAGTTTTTTCTTGATATCACAAGTTAGAGCTTTTAGAATTTTGTACGTAAGTTGGTGGAATTCTGTATTTTTTGAGTAAATTGATGATTTGTGAAGTCTCTTGATTTTCCGAAGCTTAAAAAAACGTATTTTTTAAACTTTGAAATCGGCAATAGCTACAAGTCTGACTTTAATTTGTTTGCTCATTTATAATTATGTCGTGTATAGTTATTAAGAAAATTAGTGACTTGAGAATCGTTTTAGCACGTATTTACACAAAAGTGAAGGTCTCCAGTCTACGATTCTTGTAAAATTATCCTTATCTTGTAATTTTATTAATTATACTCATTGTATAAAAACAGATTACAGCAGTGGTTTCCAAACTTGATATTACTGCGTCTCCCTTAAGACATATTTAATCATTTCGCGGCTTCCCTCCATTTCATAAAATAGATAAAACTTTAGCAGTCACTTGGAAAAATTCTCACTGTGACTAATAGTGTTGGAAAACGCTATGAGACAGCTCATAACAGAAGACTAGATGAGAATAGAAAACAGAGCTTAAAAATTCCAATTAAAAGTAAAATTATTTTATTATATCGAATAAAAAATACAAGAACAATAATTAATTTAATATGAACTAACTCTAGATGCGGGCTCCGTTTCCATTTCGTACTCGATCTCCACCCGTTGTTTCTTGCCTTTCTTACCAGCGGGTCCACCTTTCGGCATCGTTTTCGATTTGAATTTAGCTTTCGACTGAGAAGGCACAGTAACATCTTCAATATCAGAATCGTCCGAAGATTCAATATCACCAATAACGGTCTCCTTTTTACCGCTGTCGCTGTCCTACAACGAAACAAACCGCAAAAACATTAGCACAAAATCCCCTTCAGAATGAATATTTTGACGTACCTCTGATTCAATCTCAAACTCTGAGTCAGTGCCTTCAACAAAGGCATCACCCTCCATTTCCTGCTCAACTTCGGACTCGATTTCCTCCTCTCCACTCTCATTGTCTTCAACTTCGCCTTCCATCAAAGCTTCATCGAACATAGACTGAGGTATATTGTATAAATCTTGGTACTGAAAAATAACAAATATTTGTAAAAAGAAACAATTAATTATATCAATAGTAAAACACTTACGACTCCCTTCTTGAGCCTATCCAACAAAGTCTTCTCAACACCCTTCTCTATCCTAGCAGCAATGAGAGCCTTGTGTTCCCTTCTCGTCTCTCTCCTCTCGATCTTCGTCTGCAACGGCACGAGCAACTTCTGTCTCTTCAGCCTCAATCTGCGCATACGAATGAGATACTGTGTGATCCTGACAAACCTCTGCTTGCATTTCTGTTTGATGAATCCGGGCCAATACAGAAGATTCTCGTTGATCTGATGGATGGCCTTCTCAAAGTTCTTCGAAAGCTTGACCTTTTCCCAGCACTTGTTGGGGAAATGTGCCCGTTCAGCTGTTTTCATATACAAGTAAACAATGCCGCTTTCCTCTCGCACAGTTGCATATTGGCTGTTTGCCAACGGGCAGGAACTCCTTGTACACAGACCAGTTAAATTGAATTCATTGCGGCAGAACTTTTGCGTTTTCGTGCTACAAAAATTGAAGATGTTAATATTTTCTTTTGGAAATTGTGATTGTAAAGACTTACCTCACTTTGTGTGAGCAAAATGTGCCGTTAATGACGCTCCAAACGACCTGAAATTAACAATTATAATTAATACGTTTTGTTGTTAGTTTCGTTGAAGAACACTCACGTCGTCGTGCTGCATTCTGCAAGTTTATCTTATTTACTGAATACCAAACATGAAAATAACCTGCAATATTTTCAACTGTTTTAGAAACCGCACGTGTTGCCTAGTTGTGGAAATCACTAGGCCAACATAAGAAACTTAAATGTTAAAATCACTACTTTTAAATTTAAAAATTTTTGAAATGAATCTTTAATAATTTATGATTTACTTTACGAAAGAAATACAGTTATATAAATAAATGAAACACAATTATTAATGTTATTACCCTTTCTTTTTTATGTTTTTGCTATTCATAACATCGTTTTATACAGATCCACAGTATACAAATATCTATTAGTTAAACAAGTAGTAGTTTCTCCATTTCACATCTTGTTGCAATCGATGCGTTTCTGGAACTACAGTTGATATCTCATGCAGTTTTCTTTAGAGATTGTTTACTAACATCAATACAGAATATATCATCATTCCATTAGTATGATCATCAATCATCGTCACTTGATTCTGAAGCATAGTTCAATTGCTCATTCCACCAATCCCTAATTTCGTGCGTTGCATGAGACACCTTCGGAACGGCTGCTTTATTGTTAATTACTTCTCTTGGCAGTCTGCTAGTTTCTGGTGCTTCATTGTAGTGTCCCCAATTCTTAACAGCAGCAACTGAAAAATTAATTATTTGTATAAATTGTAATATGAAAAAAAAATAATAGATGTAAATACCAGGAGGTCTGTTATTTTTCTTCTTTGTAGTGATTTGCTGTTTCTCCACGACTCTCGACGATGGATCTGATAAAGTTGTTACAAGAATCTTCCTTCCGCATCCACTTTCAATACTCTCCGATCTAACGATGGGTTTAGCCTTCTTCTCGTTCTCCTTCTCCACTTCGGCCTCTTTATCTGGGGTGTTGTTCTTAATCTCTTCGTTCGTTACAATTTTGTCCATGATCGGAAGGAATTCGTTGGTGTCTCTCAAACCAGCTATTAAACTGTTCTGTTTGTTCTGCAACAGTTTTCGTTTTATTAATATATACTTGTTTTTAGTATGTAGTTAATTTCTATTTTATTATTTAATATGATAATATACGTTGCATGTCGCACGCGATCTCGAGTTTTATATAAAATAAAGTCATTAACTAAAGGTAATTAATTAAATATTCAGAAATTGAAGGGATTGTAGATGAATAATGAATGAAAGACTCACGTTCGTTGAGCGGATTTTCTTGAGGCAACCCTCGAGCCACGTTCGTATCGTCTGCTTTGCCACTTCCTCTTCAATTATGTATTCGAATTCCTCCCTGGCCAGAAGCTCCTCGAGTTGCAGGGCTTTCCTTATATCCACCGATCGATACGAGAGCATACTAGAAAAATGCGTATTATTCGCCTTGTAAAAATGTACTTGTGAAGAGGTACTTGATGACATCGTGGAAAGTAACGTCTTCGCCATTGTGCAGCCTCTCCAGTTCATAACACATGTGCTTGAAGAGTAGTCTGTCTTTTTGAGGATCAACCTCCAAACGACCTTTCAGCAAACGCAAGATGAACTTGACACGTCTCACGGGGATGACGCCTCTCTGATGGATGTCCACGACGTTCCAGGTGTTCTGGAAGTTCCTAATGTCCGCGTAAGAGAGCAAAGCGTCCTCCTCGTTGGAGTAGAACAAAGAGAAATTCTCCATGATAATAGCTGCGAGTTTCAAACAAACAGTTCAATGACCAACGCGAATGTAATTCTAAGCAGAACTGAACTTACCCACGAGCAAGTTTAAAACTATGTAAGTTATGATCACGTAGAAAGTGCAAAAGTAAACCAGAGAGCCGGTGAAGTTTCCGCAATCGGTTTCCCAATAGTTCTCCGCTTCCGTGCAGTAAGGCGGTTGTATCATGCAATCGTGCATTATCTTGTTCCAATCCTCCCCGGTCACTATCCTGAAAAGCATCGCCACACCAGTAACTGGAGACTCGAAGTTCGCTCTTCGCCCGATGCCTTCCCCGTATTTAACGGTGCCGAAGATAATCGTACCGGCCAACGCGTAGAAGAAGACCAGGAGGAACATTCCGAAAATGATGAAGAAGCTTTTGCACACGGACACACCGACGGTCAGCATTAACATCTTCAAAGTCGCGTGCTTCCCGGTGATCGTGAAGAAGCGCAGGATGACGACCATGAAACCGATGAAGTAAGACAGATCGTTCTTGAAAGCCGCGTGGAAGAAGACCCAGATGACGCCGGTAACCGTGACCAGAAGGTCGTATCTGTTCCTGCGCGACTGAAGGTATCCTCTCGGTGTAAAAGCGATGTTCTTCATGACGACTTCAATCACGAAAATCGTGATGCAGAATATATCGATGCCGGCTAAGTAATCCGTGTAATGCGCGTCTTTATTCCACTGCAACAGAGTAAATTCAATTTAGACTTTATTCGTCCTCCAATAATCCAAATAACACTGTAAAAGTACACTTACTGCGACTGACAGTAAGGAGCTGTTGATTAAGACCATCACTGCTACAAATCGCTTGAACTTCAAGTTCTGCGTGATGTCGTAAATGAATGATCTGAACTTTTTTCCGTCCGGTCTCGGGGGTAGGTGTAAGGGTTGAGCGATCTTCAGACGCTTCTTCAAATCGCACCTGAAAAAAACCGAAATTTTAGATTGCAATCACAGAGATTTACAAATCTTTCTACCATCTCCTTTGATCGACCGTGAGAAGAGCTGTGCCTTTGTTCTCGGAGTAATTAGCGATCACCACACCGACGAACAGAGTTAAACCAATCATGCATCCCAAAAAGATGTAGATGTGTATGTAAATGGCGTGGACCGGTCCTAAAGCTTTAATTAAAACATCCCTAACGTCAAGCCAACCTTTAAAAGATAACACTTCGAATAAGGCGAGCATTGCGTCTCCGATGTTATCGAAGTTGAATCTCTTGGGGTTGGCCCAGACGCGCGGTACCAGCATGGAAGGATAAGACTCGTTCATTCCCGGTTTCATCTTCATTTTGGTAACGAAAACGCGTCGCAGAAAAACGCCTACGCAATCTTCGCGTTTCGTAATAGTCGGATCGTTGCATCTGGCCAATCTTCCACCGTACAGTTGCACTCCGTAACTGGCGAAGACAAACATGAGTAGGATTAGGAGCGTCGATACGAGTAAGATCTCTTTGAATCCTCTGCACAGCTCGTAGACGACTTTACGCATGTGAGGAACAAGCGTGAATATCCGCAAAGGTCGTAAGCATCTCAAGATCATCAACATTTGAGCTCCGGATTTAGCGGGAACCTTTCTGGGCATCCAGCATAGAAACACTAAGCTCACCTAAAAATATACAATTGATTAAAGTGTAAAGTTTAATTGTATTAATTACTAAATAAATGAAAACGTCTAGAATCGCAGCGCAGTCTTTTATGTAGGCTTTGGGTGTGAAGAATAAACCGTCTGCTAGGATCTTGAGCACTAGCTCTATGCTCATGAAAATGACGAAGCTGTATTCGGCGATTTGCAGGCTGTAATTTTCCATCACTCTGTTGTAAGGAGTCTCGAACATCATTGATAGGCAGGAGAGAGTAGTCATCATTATCATAACCCAATCTAAGTAAGTCACCAAGCCGAGAAAGTTGCTGAAAAGTCAATCGAATTAACTCTAGTCTTTTTCAGTTCATTTAAAACTCACTGTAAACTTTTGTACTGAACTTTGCGCTCCTTTCCAGTCAAAGGGTCCTTCAATCTGGCATCGTATCTTGCGTACACGATCAATTGGCAGATCTTCCGGAATTTACTTTCCCTCGGAACTGCAAATAGTGGAGTATCGAAGAACGGATGGTTCTCCCTTAAATCCTCTTCCCGTTGATTCCTATAAAGTCATTTTAGATGTGCATTTTTGAATGTTTCATAATCGTACCTCCTCATCTCCGCTTGTTGCCTCTTCGCTTGCAGCAATTTGATGTCCAAATCGTGCGGCCTGGCTCTCGCCGACGTCACGCGATTCACGCCAATGTCTCCGTTTTCCATTAAATGCTCGTAGGTCTGCTTCAGCTTTATGGAACCGCTGCGGACGCTCCTTCGGATCGACCTCGAGCCGAACCTGTAATAGTTCCTTCAATCCGGTGATTAAATCTCTGCTCAATCTATAAATTTCAGGCGATAGTGATACTATCACACACCACTTTCACTTACTTCTTGGGATCGATGCGCAGCTGCTTCATGCTATTTATCGTTCCTTGAGGCTTCAGCGGGCCTTTGCTCCCCGGAACCGGAATAATAGAGGAATCACCCAACATCAATCGTTGATTATTGGAATCGCTGAAAGAAACAGGGGATAGTTAAAAGTGAATTGGAGAGAGTTTCACGGATCATTTACTTGATGATGTGAGCAACCGATGTCTTCTTTAATTGGCTATTGACCGTGCGGACTTTAGGGATGCTGTTGTTCAGTATCTTCAGAGGCTTCTGCTTCCTGTATATAATCTTCGAATCGTAGATCTCCTCGTTGAGTTTCTTCAAACCGCTTTCGGAATTTTCAGCGTCCTCGATTTCGTACACGAATTGCCTCATGAAACTCTCCCGAACCTAAACAAATGATTCAAATAGAATTCACTTGAAACGTGCTGCAAAGTTGCTCTGACCTTCGGAAGGCTGAAATCTGAAGGAACTTTGTGCAACGTGACCATGAGAGGGCTGTCGGGAAACTTCTCGAAGATCCTCAATCGGAACGGCAAAGTTTCCTTGATTTCGGCGCTCTGCTCTCGGTATTTCAACTGCTTCAACTTCTTGATGTCTTCGTCCAACTCCAAGTTATCCAAAATCACGGCGACGAACAAGCTGAGCACGATCTAAACACATTGATTCAAAGCAATCATACTTAATATTTGTATTATTAACGTACCAATGTTACGAAGAGATGGTAAAGAATGAAATACAGTGCGACTAGAGGAGCTAAAGTCGGTTGCGTCAGCAGCATGGTTTCGTCCATGACCTCGACCCAAGCCTCTTGCGTTAAGATTTGGAACATGGACATGAAAGCTTCGATGAACGTTTCGAATTTGGCGAATCCGCACAGGAAGCAGAACAGTTGCATCGAGATGCTCGAAGATATAATTAGGAGGCACATTGTGAAGATGATTAGGCTTCCGAGCTTCTTTCCAGGCCCGAAGATTTTGTAAACGAAGTCCTCTAAGAGCGGAGAGGCTTTTATCAAACGCACCACTCTCAAGACCTGCAATTATTACTCAATTAAAACTCCAATAGATTTTTTTTACTTGGAATTACTTGGAAGTAAGTGAAACCTGTCATGTAGAAGTAAGGTATCACATGGATCGTAGTTCCGACCGCTAGAAGAAGCTCGAATTTGTGTATGGAATGCTTCCAATAACCTCTCCATCCCAAGCACCAGATCTTGAACATTGTTTCAAAGTCGAGGAGGACAGTGAAACCGACTTCTATGTAATAGTATCTTTCGTAAAAAACGCTGCGCGGTCGCTCGTCGTGCTTAAAAGTCATGGTTGCAGTTACTATTCCGTTGGATAAGATCACGCACATCACTAGAAGACGGAAATGCGGTGATCTCAGTATTACGTGGCAAATCTCCGGTGCTAAACCGGCGTGCTTGTTCTCATCCAAAGTGACTAACTTCCAACCACGATCGTCTCCCGTTAAAATCTTAAATTTTATTAATTAATAATTGATGTTTTATTTGTACGTTGATGAGGGCGTGTTACTTGCGAAGCTGAACTGTTTTGTATGTGTCCCCTGACACCCCACATTTGCTGGAATTGCACTCGGATCTCGTTGAAGGTTTCGGTGATGACGGCTATGAAGACGTTCTTCACCAGCCAGGCTAAGAAGAAAATCATCGTGCTGAAGTACAGGACGGCTCTCCATCCCGGCAATGAGTCTATGGCTCTGTACATGATAAACACCCAACCTTCTTGAGATGCGGCTTGGTAGACGGTAAAGAAACTCGTCACTGGGAAAAAAAAACGTCGTTAATTCAAATCGCGCTAAGAAGAGTGGTTAATTTACCGAATTCGTCGAAACCGTTGAAGCCTATTATGTAGCGCGATAGCTCAAGTTTCATGCACTTCATCCCTCGCGGGCATTGGTAGCCAGAGTTAGGATCAATGGAGCAGAAGGTGTCTGGTATAGCGAGACTGTTGATGGTAATCGATCTGCGTTGAAAAGAAGTGTTAATTTAAGATGAATTTGTGATTGGGGTTCGGTGTTTTACCCGACTTCGGTGGTGTTCAGAACGCAATGGTTCTTGAGCTCTCCGAAGAACTGGACACCGAGCAGTCCGTAGAGGGACATGAAGAACAGGAAGAAAAGCGTGACGTTGTAAATCTGTTGGCTGGAGCGTTTGAAAATCTGGTTTATCCTGGATTTGGGCATGGAGAATTTGAGGAAGACTCTGAGGAAACGGATCATGATTAGCGGTCTGGGTGCTCTGAGGATCGAGAGGTAGCTGTATTTCGGCACGATTTCGGTGATTTCGAAGATTTGCAGGATAACTGAGATCCAGAGTAGGAACACCATGCTGGCGTCGAATTGACACCAGTGGTCTTTGAGGTACGGTTTTTCGCCCTTGAACAAATCGAACCTATCTGTAGTCTTCTGCGTTACATCGGTGTGAGTGTACCTTACTTTGAGGATGCCCCTTATGTGCATCTTTGCTATCATTTCGGCGGTGAACAAGAATGTTACCACGGAATCAATCGAGAAGGTGACGAGCTGCATGGGCGGAATTTTCTCGAAGGTCTTCGGGGTGTTGCAGCAGACGGATGCTAAGCTCAGGAGGGCGCAGAGCCTCATCACCCGCCTCACCCAGATCTTTAACAAAAAACATCAATTTCTTTAAGTTTTCAATTATGTAACAAAGTAGCTTGTAGACACTCACCATATTGACCCATTCTATGTCTGCGCTCTCGTTGAAAGCCTCGTCCGGGCCGTAGTCGGCCAGGACGGGCTCACCTTTGAGGCTCTGCTTCCGTCCCAGCATCATCCCGATCATATTCCGCAGTTTTCTTGCAATTTTTCCTGATTTTTCACCTGCCACTTTTCACATTTTCCCGACTCCGGGACGGGAGGCGCCCGGAGCGCTCCGGATTCTGCATTCTCCTCCAGTCCACACGGTCCTGCGCATCTCCATCAGCCAAATGGGAAAATCAATAAGAATACGTTATCTGCGTTCAGTTGGTAATAAATTTTCAAAAAAAAAAAAGACAAAAGACAAAAGCCCTCCAAAAGATAACACAGATAAAGAATTCGGATTTCATGCGAAAAAGGGCCAACCAAGTCTAGTCTATTTATTTAAACAACTCCACGTAAACATTCAGGTCACGGATTAAACAAGGTCTTTCCTTTAGAAATTGGAATGCCATGCGTAATCTAAACGCGCTTCACTATCTCTCCCATTAAATAATAAATACACAAACAAACAGGACTAAATACCTTTTCGACTCGATAACTATAAGGCATTGATAATAAAATCCTCTTTATTCTAGTACTCAGTCTTCTGCAAAATGCGAGCACTGTACTTCATAGTTCTTCTGTCCTGCAGCTTATTTTCTTTGTCATTTGGTAAGGGATTTTACTTATTTTTGAACAAATTCGAATGATTTTCCTCTCTCTCTCTCTCGGAAGGGCTGACGAAGAGCGAAAGATGTCTCATCGTTCAGAAGCAAAGCGTCGGTCCGTCCTTCGATTTATCTCCTTCGCAGGATTACGAGGACTACACCGACGATGATATCGAAGACGAAGATACGACCGTTCAAACTCCGGATAGAAGAAGGAGAAAAAAGTATCCACAGCGTAGACGAAAGTTACACAAGAAACGACCCGTTCATAAAAAAGTTATACACATCTTAAAAAATGGAAATTTTTCATTATAAAATATTGATTAATTCTTCTCTTCTTTATAAAACATTTTTTCCATCATATAGTAATCAATTATAATAACTAAATTTTATAAAATTTAAGCAGATTCCAAATAGATGTGGAAATTCCTTTTAGAAAAGAGTTTATATATATAAACGCTCCATATTTTTGCTTTGTTTACGTCGCAGTCGCAATAAATTCGCTTTTATTATAATTATAAACAGTAGCGTCCTATAATTTCAGTTGCGTAAGACAAACTACCGTCGAGTTCCTCCGTTCGCGTAAACTATTGGATTGGTGCATAATTATCAGGCGTTTTTTGGGAAGCAGTTATTGACTATGATTATTGTAGAATTGCACTAATCCAATGAAGATTTCCTCTCATCGAGAAATTATTTTGCGCATTCGCCTTTGAGATTTTAATTGAACCTTTTCCTATTACAATCCTGATCTGTCTCTCTTCTACACACTCGTTTCTTTGTGGTAGGAAAGGAGGAATGCAATTTGTTTCGCTTTATTTAGAAGTGCTCGTGCTCGAGCTATTAACCGAAAATGGTCAGGATGAATTGCGGATCGGCCCCGTATTTAGACATTCCTCAACAACAGCACACAAAGAAAACAAACCAAAAAAAAGTTGATTATGAAACAATCGTTTTTGGTGGAAATCTCATTGTTGTTTCATCAACTTCTGAAGATTTCTATTCGCTTTTTGTTGTTATTGCTAATGTTGAACAATTAATGTTTGTATATTTATTTCATGCACGAGATGCGATGGTGACTCAGTTGACCTTTTACAGAAACTAGATCTTATCAAAATTGGCGTTGAAGAATAATAATTGCTGTGAACTATTTTTTTCGTTCGACTAATCGATTCAGTTGAATGAAAATTGCTCATCTGATTATGGCTCTACATATTGTAACTACATAGTTCACGTGTATGGAAACGAGCTAAGTTTACACAGCAATTTTCTTGATTACGACACAACCGAACAATGCTGCAAGAAAACTTAATTAACGAGCTCAATTACATCATTAACACTTTAATAAAATTATCAATAATATACTAGAAATATTTAATAATATCTTAAAAATTTGTTATCAAATAAATGTGAAATACTTTAAAAGTTGGATCACATTTAATTAACAAAGCAATAATTCTTAATTATACATAGATATTGAAATTTACACTTTTATTACTTGCAAAACTAACTATAAATTAAAACTTAATTATAATTTAGCCATTAAACCTTTAAAGTATAATAATTATTACAGTCTTATATAAGTTTTCAAATCCATTTTTATTTCACTAATTCTGCTGCAATAGATGTAGGAAATGTTATTAACCCTTTTACTTCCTCAATATGTTGCCCTTAATTATAACATAACGCGTAATTGTAGTATGTTTATGAGAAGGCGCAGCTGTTTCCTTAATTATCACGCTCATTCGGTTTAAAAAAAAATTCTTATAACATCGAGAATTCATTCGATTTTCTTAATTAATACATACTTTTTTTGAAATAAATAATTTAATGACTAATTTTCCATATAATGTCTTCAAACTAATTATTTTTTATTCGTTTTTAGAAAAAAATATTTTCATAATTTTTTTTTTAGGAAAATCTGCTAATTTATTATGTGAAAAATTGTCTTTTTAAAAACAATAAAAATATTTTTTGGAATTTTGAATTATGAATGTCTTCATACTATTTTTTTTTTATTCGTTTTTAGAAAAAAATATTTTTATAATTTTTTTTTTTAGGAAAATCTGCTAATTTATTATGTGAAAAATTGTCTTTTTAAAAACAATAAAAATATTTTTTGGAAATTTTTTTTTCAAATAAAATCTCAAAAAAAAAATTATTATTTTCGTCTATAATACAATAACTTCTCCAATTAGTAAAAGTAAATTGTTTAAAAACTGAATTTTTCATAAAAGAAAACTGTAATTTTTTTTTTATATGTTGTAAAACATCTTTAGTGCTTCCAAAACTATCCGAATCCAAATTAATAGCACTTCGACCATTATGTCCTCAGCGCGAAATCCAATTTAATAGGCGTAAGCCGATTACGCAACAAATTTATAACTGGCAATTAGTCTTGTTTAACTGCAAGTCAAATCGCTGAAAATACCAGTGTTAAACTTAAACTTAAACCCATACTAATCAGCACAAATAACGCATTTCCATATTCACAATTCGATAAAAAAAGAAATGTGTATCGTGAAACACATTTTAGCTTTGTACACTTCAATATTCAAATATCCTAACGAACTTTACGTAATTGAATTACGATGTGCTTCGGAAAGAGGGCGCTCGCGATTCGAACGGATCGATCCGATAGTTGTCGTTTTTTTCTTTTGTTTTCGGATATGGAAAATGCGCTTCCGGTTAATGAAAAGCTTCCTCATCCGAATAATCGAGAATTTGCAATTATCACTTTAACGCTGTTATTTTCCGATATGTTTTGTAACGGAGTTTAAAGTAATCGATTCTTAATTAGTTTATAGTTCAAGTCTTATAAATGAACAAATGTATACACTGACGTAAATACATTGATTGGATGTTTTAGGTTAGGAAACTTACCTTAAAGTTAAGCGCGGATGATATTTTGGAGAGGTGATCCATCTTTTGGAACTGTCAATTAACACAATTAAAACGTGCATTTACATATTAAACACGCAACTAAATGAAATGCATACACATACTTTTATAGACTAATCAATCATTGGTTATTTTTTGGTTAAAAATTGTTTAATTAATTAATGAATGACATTGTCGTCTAGGTGATGATTTATTAAAATCCTTTATTGATTTAAACGTCAAATTTATATTTCAAAGTAGAATTGTGTGCAATGCGAAAAAATGCTGATAAAATATAATATTTAATAAACAAAGAGAAAATTGAATTTCTTTGACTTAGATGCAATAATTAATTAAGTTTAATTTACATTATAAATTGTTACAACAATGCAAAGTTAGATAAAAAAATGCGTAAAAGAATCAAAGTGAAAGGAAATAGGTTTAGTTTTCTAAAGATCGAAACAAGCTGAGAAAGTCGATTTTTTTGTTTCTGATTTTCAATTATTTCAAAAATTTATTGTT